TTTATAGTCATATAAGAGAATATTAATATGGAAAGATAGATCTCCAGGATAAATGATAAAAGTATAGAACAGAATATATTGTGCTCTCATGTGTGTAAAAAAATGTTGGTGGGGAGGAGATGGGTATTATCATGGGAATTTTCTGAAAGGATAAAAAACAAAAAAATATTGATAGGGATTACTTCTTGGAAACAAGGTAGGGACTGGGATGGGAGGTTACATTTTTCCTCGTGTACTCTAAAAAATTATTTGAAATTTTTACATGTATCTTCTTAACAAAAATACCAATAAATACTGAAATGTAGTCTTCAATTTTACAGCTGCTTCCTTATGTCATATCCTCTACCCAAGCCTGAAATTCTTTCTTTACTTGAATCTCTTTTGACTACATCAATAGCTGCAAGCATTTTTCAAATAAAAATAACTTCCTCTAGGGCTTGCCTTATGCCTCTAATAATGATAGAGAGGAAGAGCAAATGAATCAATTTTGCTATTCGTTAGGTGTTTGATGAGTGTTATTGGGTGTAGTGGGTTGAATGGTGGCCCCCAAAAAGATATGTCCTCATCCTCAGAACCTGTGACTATTACTTTATATGGCAAAAGATGTAATTAAGTTAAGGATCTTGGGAGGAGGATCTTATTCTGGATTATCCTGATGGGCCCTAAATTCAATAAGATGTATTTTTAACAGAGGGGCAGAGGGACTTTTGAGAGGAGGAGGAAGCAATGTGACCATGGAGGCAGAAACTGGAGTGACGTGCCACAGACCAAGGAATGCCTGGAGCCCTCAGAAGCTAGAAGAGTCAAGGAATGGATTCTCCCTAGAACCTTTGGAGGGAGTGCAGTCCTGCTGACACGTGATTTCAGAGTTCTGGCCTCCAGAACTGTGAGAGAATAAATTTCTCTTGTTTTAAGCCACCCAGTTTCTGGTAACTTGCTATAGCAGCCCTTGGAAACTAATACAGTGGAGGAAAAGGTGCAACTAATAGCTAAAGTTAGGTTTTTGGATTCCATAAGTGTACTCATGGTTATTCTGGCCCAAAGAATACCATAAGTTGATTGTATTGAGGTACTTAATTCTATTGTAGACATTTCAGTTATTACTATTGAAACTATGAAGTAGTGAGGTTCTTGTCAGTGAAAATATTAGAGGCTAGATAAGCACCAGAGGGTGCTATTAAAGGAATTCTGGCATTGGATGGAGATTGGCTTAGATTGGCTCCCATCCCTTTCAACACAAGAAGATATTTCCATAGAAAAATTTGCTTCCAAATACTGAGGTTTAACATTTTAAGGCTATTAGAATAGCCAAACATTTAGAAAATGCATTCACCTGGAAAGGGTGTTTGAAGGTATAAGGTATTCAGAACTTACCTTCTATAAACATTCCAGATCAGGAATTCTGAAGGAATACCAGAGGCTACTGAAAATTCACCAGTGGAAAAATAAGTAAAATACCTCATGTGTTTTCCAAAAACACAATTACCCATACCAATATTTCCAAAAGTATTCGCATGCTGTTACAATGCTTTGCAATATAGACAGAGCTTTGCTCTCTCCCTTTGTTCTATGCTATTTTAGAGATTACACATTTCCTTATATTGTTAAACTGCCACCATATAAATAGCTCAGTGGTGAGTGGTGAGATTATAAGTGAGGTAAATTGTTCTCTTCATTATCACTATATTCTTTTTTTGTTTGACAGAAAATGTGAAAGCACAAGGATGCCCAGTAGTTATATTTAATGCATAGATAATAAAATCATGATATAGCCATATTTACTCTTTAAATGTATTTTTGATGTTTCTTATGTTGAAAACTATCATATAAAACATGTATTAGAAGGTTACTAGTATTAAACACATGTAAGACTAGTACTAGCTGCTATAGAACCTACTGGGTATTTCACAAATGTTTATAGCTAAATTCTATATTTTGTAAAACATTCTTTTATTACAGAAAACATTCTCTTATCACACTATTACTGAAAAATCTGGCCTGGAATTATAGGTAGACGAGATGTTAATTGGCTATGCCCAGTATTTCTCTGATAATGGCAGGACTTTCTTAGCTTCTGCAAAGTATCCTAAACACACACTTAGTACCTAGCTTCCCAGAGTACCAAAAAAGTTGCAAAGCTCATACTCAACCTAGCCTGGATGTTAAGGTGGTTACTTAGCTCATCAATTGTAGCATCCATGAGATCAAGGTCATGAGGAACCAGTGTCATTTTTGTTCTAGAACCACAGCTGCATCTTTTTTTTCTTTAATTATTATTAATTTTTTTGTGAGGAAGATTGGCCCTGAGCTAACATCTGCCAATCCTCCTCTTTTTGCTGAGGAAGACTGGCCCTGGGCTAACATCCATGTCCATCTTCCTCCACTTTATATGGGACGCCGCCACAGCATGGCTTGCCAAGCGGTGCATCGGTGCGCGCCCGGGATCTGAACTGGCGAACCCCGGGCCACCGCAGTGGAGGGCGCGCACTTAACCACTTGTGCCACCGGGCCAGCCCCCACAGCTGCATCTTAATCTCAGCTAGTTTTATTGTAAATATGGGTTATCTCAAGAAGCGCTAGAGGAAAGAATTCAAACTCACCACAACTACTTGGGGGGGGGACAGAAACCATCAAAACACTCATTTATAGGATTGTCTTGATATGACAATGATTATCGTTAGGTGGAAGAGCTGGGTGAACAATGGACAAGGAAGGTCAAGAGAGCCACAGCTGAAAATATCAGCATAAAAAACTGAAATGGGTGATTTTAAATGCTCCAGAAAGCTGTTGAAATTCTCAAGAATCTCCAAGCAAGTCCCACCAACCTCAAGAGCTCACTGGGAAGCTGCTGTAACTCACTAACCATATGTCTGGTTGCAACTGCCTCCCTGTAGGTAGAGCATGTTTTCTCTGGCCCAATGTTAGGCTTGTCCATGTGAATTGCTTTTCATCAGTGGAATATGAGCAATTGGACTTATGTCACGTTCAAGAGGAGCTTTAAATGTGCTGCATGGGGACCAGCCCAGTGGCGCAGCGGTTAAGTGCGCATGCTCTGCTTTGCGGACCGGGGTTTCGCAGGTTCGGATCCGGGCACGCACTGATGCACCGCTTGTCAAGCCATGCTGTGGCAGCGTCCCATATAAAGTAGAGGAAGACGGGTACGGATGTTAGCTCAGGGCCGCTTTTCCTCAGCAAAAAAGAGGAGGATTGGCATCGGATGTTAGCTCAGGGCTGGTCTTCCTCACAAAAAAAATAAAAAATGAAAAATAAAAAAAAATAAATGTGCTGAATGGTATAGTTTGGTCTCTTGCTCCTGCCCCTTCATGATGAGAACAGTTATGTCCCAGGTAGGGAATATTCCATTAGCCTAGTGGCAGATTAAGATGACGTGTGCAGCAGAGCTAAATCTAGTTAACCTGAGTAGAGCAGAGCTGCAGCTGATCCCCAGACCCATAAACAAGAAAGAAGGTTTGCCATAGGTCACTGAGATTTTGCAGCTGTCTACCCCCCGGGAATACCAATACAAGATTTTATATACTCATCCTTTTTAATTATACTCTTCCTTTCTATATCTAATATGTCTTTTAAGATTCTCTTGTGTTGGGCCAGCCCCGTGGCTTGGCGGTTAAGTGAGCGCGCTCCACTGCTGGCGACCCGGGTTCGGATCCCGGGCGCGCACCGACGCACCGCTTCTCCGGCCATGCTGGGGCTGCGTCCCACATGCAGCAACTGGAAGGATGTGCAGCTATGACATACAGCTATCTACTGGGGCTTTGGGGGGAAAAATAAATAAATAAATAAATAAAATCTTTAAAAAAAAAAAAAAAAAGATTCTCTTGTGTTGAAGAATTGAGAGACCAAATTGCTAACTCCAGTTCAATTTCGTTTTATTAAAGTGCTTTGGTAGATAAAGTGTTATCAACAATCAACACAAACTTTACTGAAATATTCACAAATAAAAATCCCTTACTTTATAATATAAACACTCAAATAATGTTCTTCTATGCAGTAACAGTAATCACCATTGGAGCTTGGGTAATCTGAATTTATTCCTAACCACACACATGGATTCTCAAATTGAGAGATTCAAATCGGTTACCTTAACATATGGGGCTGGCTGGCAATACCTGAATGCTAGTCCCAGCAAGTCAGTGAAAAAATGATGTGATTTGAAACTAATCACTTACCCTTGGTGCCTTAGTTTCTCCATATGCACTGAGGATCAATCTTCCCTTAGAGAAGATTTGTAAAAAAAAGTATGAAATGTTAAAGCTTAACATACTTATATGCTTCAGAAAGCATTCATGTGCATATTTTTTAAAAGGCAACTTATTTGTTCTTGACACAAATTAAATACTATATGGCTTTAAAAGAAACAGGCTGATGATTGCTCTTTCCTTGAAAATTGTCTTTTCACTTAAATCACATTAAAATCATAGATTAATAGGGTTCATAGATGATATGCTCAGTAAATTATTTTGATTGCAGTGAGGACTGCTGTCCTGTTCAAGTAAAATTTACAAATTATTTTGCGAAGTTTCATCCATTACATACTTATATCCTTCACGACCTTTCCATAAAAACAGAAATCCTGCTACCCTAAAAGCACAAAGAGGTGAAATCCAAGCTTTACTTAGAGTTTTGTTATAGTGCCTTTCGATATCGTTAGTAAATCGATCATGACTTCCAAATGAGACTGTCATTGACAAGAGTATATAAGCCATTTTTGACTAGACTTCCTGGCACAATTAAAGTGGCCTGGTGCTATCATAAAAAAGATTCAGTAGTGTCTACATTGTGGGGAGGCATTTAAAGTAAAAAAGCTTGAAAATATAGATGATATAATTGTAGGGACAGAAGAGAAATCAAATGATCCTGATTGAATCAGAAACTTTTCTAAAAATTTTCTGTTGGGAAGTATATGATTCTGCTGTAAAAGAGAAATGTTTAAAGAAGTTGGTACTTCGACTCATATTTTCAAAGAAATGTGCAGTACTTTTAGGTACAAAAAGTATTGCTAAATCTCCACATGACACTTTGAAACCGCTAGGAGTAGAAAGGAAAAAAAATCATTAATCAACGTAGAAGAAGAAAAATGGTAAGATGTGATGCTCTTGCTGTTCTATTCAATTAAAAAATAAATCGATCATGAGCACAAATGGACACACTATCTCAATAAATAAAACCTCCTGTAGTTAACTTGTCATTTAAAAAATTAATTGTATGAAAAAGATAATTTTCTGCAGTGTACTCAGTCATTTTAAGACTGAAGTTGTTTCGGCAAAACATGAAACATCCTTAGAGGAGGCCTGACTGTTTCATATTGGTAGTGGCAGAGCACTCCATGCCCTATACAGGGTATGCAGGGAAATAATTTTCACGTTGAACATAGATCTCTTAGGGAATTAAAAAAAAATACTTTACACAACATACCTTTCTATAACATGCAGTATTTAGGTAATAGTAAATCATCATCCTTCAGAAAGAAGGTGCAGGTGCTCTAAAATCATCTTAGATTTTAGAATGATTTTAGAAAAAAGGTGTGTCAAAATTTTAAATTTAAAATACAGACAATTTCAAAGTTGGTTTTGCCAAACCTCTGGTAAGTCCTAGGAAACCAGGGTGTGCAAGAAGAAAATGTTCTCCCTATTTTATAACCTGCACCTCCCATCACCTATGATTAATGCCATGGGCCAAATGCCATAATAAACTTATTCTCACTCTTGGGGCAAGCAAAGGCTAGCCTGGTTCTAGGCAAGACTAAAGCAGGAAGTGGTTCCACAAAAGAGCCTGTCCAGGACTGATCCAGTAGGAGATTTCCAAGGCCAACTGGGCACCCAACTGACCCCAGGGCAAGTTGATCAATTTGTTGTGACTCAGGATCCCAGCCTTGTACCATCTCCAGGCCCAAGGGGCCCCACGATGGCCCTGAACTACACTGGACGTCCTTGGATTAGGTCAGCTCTTCCCTGGGCAAGCACTCCTAGAGTTGGAAACAAAGTTCGAATGGGCGGGTAGGCAGAGCACCATTTATTGGAGCTAACCCCCGTCTAACAGCTGCTTTGTGGACAAGAGCTCAGTCAGTGATTCTGGAGCAGCTCCTCCCAACAGATGGGCTGTGAAAACACCTCTCTCTCCAGCCAGAGCTCATATGAATAGTGGAAATCCTCAGGCAGATCCAACCTCTGCCCCAGCACACTCTGCAAGCAGTTATCCACAGGTGAAAATTCAGAGTCCTGGGGTCTGTCATACCGGCGGCTGTTAAAAGCCTCAATGTTGGCCCTCAAGGTGCATTCTTCTGCTTGGAAGTCCCATGGCCTGGCATCAATGTCTGTGTTGGGAAGAGAGGAAGAAAAAGATGTATACAACTCAGGACATTGCTTCTCTTACCACAGAACATGGTCTATGGGATACCAACAATGGAACTGCTCAGAATTTCCTATTTTGTAAAGAGCAATGTACAAAGTAAGTATATAACATGCTGCCACTCTGGTTTAAAAAATACACACATGCCCACATACATATGCTTGTATATGCAGAGACTATCTTTGGAGGGGCAGTCTAGAAAATAGTAACAGTGATTACCACTGAGAAGGAAAAGTGGCCCTGAGGGAGGTGGACTTCTTTTATTGTACTTCCTTTTCATTATTTCACTTTCTTACTAGTTATATGTATTATATTTTCCAAAATGGCAACTCAATTCCCTTTATTGAGCTTTCCTAGGGGATGGGAGTTTCCCATTTGAATGGAACCACCAGCTCTCAAGGAATGGGAAGAGGCAGGAAGGGGTACAACAAGGAGAATCAGAATGGGCCAGTTATTGAAGACTTTCCTGATTCCCTGAGACCTCCCCCAGCACGTGGTAAATCTGTATGTCAGCTTATATTGAGATTATGAGGTGAAGACTTCCATGAAGATAAAAACAGAAAATAGATAATCTGTTTTGCTTCTACTTATCCCACTTAGGCACTTATTTCAGGGCTAGAAATTGATATTTCCCAGATCTCTTATGTCCCACACTCAACGGTTTATCATAAGGAAGTACAGTTTGGGTTTGGGTTCATGATGGTGGCAACAACAGACATGCCATTTGCAGGATAAAACATTTTCATGTTTTAAAATTCTAAAAGAATTTGGGTTGGCCTGGTGGTATAGTGGTTAAGTTTGCATGCTCCACTTTGGTGGCCTGGGGTTCGCAGGTTTGGATCCTGGGTGTGGACCTACACACCGCTTATCAAGCCATGCTGTGGCAGGCATGGAAAGAAGGGCACAGATGGAGGAAGATGGGCATAGATGTTAGTTAGCTCAGGACCAATCTTCCTCAGCAAAAAGAGGAGAATTAGCAACAGATGTTAGCTCAGGGCTAACCTTCCTCACCAAAAAAAAAAAAAAAAAAACTACAGGAATTTAAGTGGTTAATTGTGCTTCATGTCTTATAGTAGAAGTTGCATCCTGGCTTGTTATCTGCCAATCATATACTTCCCTTAGTTCTCTCAGTTCTTTACTGTAGCATCCTCTAAAATTCAGGCAGGTTTCAAATCCCAGCAAAGACAAGTCATTAGTCATCTTACCAAAAACTCTTAAATACAATTATGCAAATAATGGTCAAATCCCACTACAACAAATGTCAATACAATGAAAAAGCTCTCCAAAATAAATTCTTCCAAACTCTGGTCAATCTATAACATCTTGGTAGGGCAACCAGATATTATAATGTCTCCTGATGTGAGGCAATATGCAGTTCCCAACATTACCTAGACTGTACTATAGCCAAAAAGTTTTAAATTGAATTCATCAAACCTTTAGATCTAACTTTCAGTTTTCAGATAATACCAGAGATAGAGGAATAAGGTAAATGACACCACAAAGAAGCAAGCAGACAAATCCAGAAGACAGATATTCTGCAGGACAAATGGCCTCGTTCTTCAATTAGTCAGTTATGGAGGGGAAAAAAAAAAAAAAACTGCTGGATTCAAAATGAATAAAAGAATACAACAAACAGATTGAATTTGTGGGCTTGTGTTGGATTATGACTTGGAAAAATGGCTTTAAATAACATTTTGGGCAACTGGGAGATTCTGAATATGGACTTGATTTTTAGATAAAATGAAAACATAATGATATGCAAAGGTGGAGATAATGTAAACTGAAAAGAGAAGATTATGAAATAGCAGGTACAATTTGCTTTCCTTTTAATAAAATGTGTATATATATATATATATGTAGAGAAAAAGATCTAGAAGAATATACAATAAGATGTTAGTGCAAGCTTTGGGTGGTACAAATATGGTGTAAATATGGTAATATAGTAAAATGATGGCTTACTTGTATTTTCTAACCGCTCTGTAATAATAAAAGGTTATTTTAATTTTTAAAATCTCTTGGAGAAACCTGTCATTTAAAGGAATATTTTGGAAAGGGGGTAATTATCCCCTCAATTTACTTGTTATATAAAATGGATTTTCATAGTTTACACAGGACAGGGTACATGCTGGAATTTGGGGCAGTGCCTTAAAGTTTGTCATATCAGCACCTGACTATAATCCCATATTTTCCCATCCAAAATATGTAACAATTCATACCAAAAGAGTAGACATAAATGTTTAGTTTTGTTTAAATCCTGGGCAACTCCTAGAGGTCAAGAGCTCTCAGAATACTCACCATTCCCATAAGCCCAGTCGTCATTCATGCGGTGACGTACTTTCTGGTAAATGGCTGACATGGTTTTCATGTTGCTTTTCCTCCACTGGCGCCCCAGGTACTTGGTCTGTATTTTTAGCAGCTTCAGGACATAAAGTTGCAGCATCGCCTGTTTCACCTTGAGGGCCCGCTTTAAGATTGGAGCAGATTTAAACACCACCAGCATCTGCCCATTTACAGAGGGGTGGGAGTGAAGAGAGGCAGGTAAGGATCTAAAGTTTCTTAGAACTTCCAACTCACAGACAAATTAAGCCAAACCTGGCTGGCCTCAGAATACCCTGGGGAGGTTTTGGGAATCTATGGTCCAGGCTCTACTTAGAATAATTATCTCACTGGTGAATAATTTTCTCATTTAGTCTTCAAGAACATAGAGGAACCACTCCATTTATATTTCTCAATTCAAATTTCTAATATTCAAAGTGCATGATATAAAGTGCAAAAAAATTTTTGTCAGCCACACATCCCATTTCCACTGTTACCAGTTCCTTGTGTATCTTCTAGAGATAATTCTATGTATGCATAAGTTACTTTTATTAACAAAAATGATAGCCAACTACATATCCTGTCACATTGTTCCATGTCTTGCTTTTTATTTAACAATGTATCTTGAAAATTACTCCTTAGCAGTATAGAACTGCCTCGTTCTTTTTAATGGTTGTATAATATTCTATTATAAGGATGTACTATAAATTATTAAACAAGTTGGTCTTGTATTAATGAGTAGAACATTTAGATTGTCTCCAGTCTTTCAGGATTACAAACAATGCTGCAATGAATAATCTTAGACTCGCATCATTTGGGATGTGTGACTATAATCCAAATAACAATGCTAACTTCTCTACCAGAGCTGCCTTGAGGGAGGGTCCATATTCAGCTCCCTCAAAAGAAATGGACTGGTGAATAATTATCTCATATAGAATAAGTACCCAGAATTAGGAGGTGCTAAATCTTATATAGCATTCAGTGTCTATCTATAGAGCTCACAAAGCAGGAAGTCCATAAATATTTACTAAAGATTAAAATAATTCAGTCAGATGGATACCTTCAGGATCTGAAGCCCCACTCACCATGGTTCTGGAATGCTTCCATTTGGTCAGTTTATTGAGCAGCCTCAGAAGGTTGATGCAGGAAAAGAGGTTCCTCCAACAGAATTGATTGTTGTCTCCAGCTTCCTGTAAAAAGGCAAGCCCGTCGTTATCTCAACACCTACAAGATTTTTGTTCCCACAGAAGCCTGGATGTCACTGTTGGTCAGTTTAGGTGAGGCCTTCCATGTGAAATGCTACTCCTTCACCATACTAGTCTTTACACACTGAAGCCTCAAAGCATGCAATATCCCTCATGTGAAAACACAGCTGCCAATCCTGGAAGTCTCTGTACCTAGAGCAAGTACTAGTTCGAAAGATGATACATGAACATAGGAACTTCATCCAAGCAAGCTTTCTTGTGTAGCTTTCTGCTTTAGGATCAGAAAAGAGATGACAGACTTTTACTCCCCTATACTTTTCACTTACATAAGCTATGTTTGTAACTGCTAGGAGTTTTTATGGTGATTTCAAACTTTGTTGGATGGATCTGATATTCATTATGGTTGAATTTTTTTAAACCAACCCCCACCCTCCTTTATCAAACCATACTGCAGGAAACTGCTTAATTCTCCAGCATGGAAGGAAAAATAGCAGATAGTTAATTTTAACCAGATGTCTCTCTTGTACGTTTCTTAGCTTGTACACACCCAACTAGAGATAACAGATGGATGTCAGGTTAGAAACAGATATCTATTCACAGAAACATCTTTCACGGACAAAAATAAGAGTCTTTATGGATTTGGGGGCCTGTAAATATATACTGGTTTCAGAAGCTATATAAATCAGTGAGCAGGCATAGTGGCCAAACTAACATCTTGGAAATTCCTCATGTCTACAATGTGATAGGAGAATGTAGGAGGAGGAGATGTGTAGAAGTGAGCTGCTGTCTAATGAATGGAAAATTATCCCCTCCTCTCTCAAATTAATTTGAAGCAAGCAAGACAGGCATACATCTAATGTAGAATGAACATCCAAGATTTTTGAGAGTATTAGGCTCTCATAAGAAACAAATAAGACTCAGGGTCAAAAAGTTTCAGGGAAACTCTTTAGAAATATATTTAGAAATAATGTTTTCCTTCTTGTAGTAAATGTTCAATATTGTGTTTAGCACTAGTCCTAGTAGAACCATTTGTTTCCTTCTAAGGAAAACTTCCACAGGAGTTTCCACTCTAGTCCATAAGCTAGTTTGGCTTGCCCAAAACAGATCAGGTTCTATAGACATTACATCTTGTGTGGCTATAAGAGAAGACAGACTTAAATGTTTATTTTTTTAAAAGAAGGGAAACAAACATATGGGAGAGGTCAGAATATTTCCACTGTAACCTTCTTTTATCCTGATTTCTAATATGGTAGCAGCATAAAAAGTCTTGCATTCTCTAGCACCTCAAAGAATAATATAGGAGTAGAGGCATGGCCTTGTTGAAGAAACAATGGAGTAGGCATCAGGACACCTGGATTATGGCTTCAGCCCTAGCTGTATGATCTTAGGCAAGTCATTTCTTTTTCCTCTAAGAGGTTAAACTAGATAATCTCTAAGATCCATTTAGCTCTGACCATTCAATACTTTTGTGATTTACTTTGACATTCTCCAGTTGGTTCAAAAGTGAAGTTTTGAGTGAGAGTAAGCTGATATTGGCTGACTTTTCCTCAGAGCTCAGTCTTAAGAGTCCCAGGAAAGATGCCCCAGTTCCCTCCTGAAGACAGTCTCATCTGCCCAGGGCCTTGCTCTCCTTTCTTTCTGATAATGCTTCCCCGATGACTATAACTAGCCCTACTTCTTGCATCACCAGATGCTGCCTGGAAAGGGCACCGAAAGCACACATGCTAGTCACTGGCTCTCTCAGGATACTCGAGCCCAGGCTTGTTGTCTCCTTTGCTTGCAGCAGCAGGCTCTACATGGAGCCCTGCTCAAGCCTTCTGCCTTCTTCCAAACCAACAGATAATCATTTTCCCTGCAGGCCTTTAGCTCCATGGGTGCCTTTTCAGATTTGCCAAACTTGAGGATTTTTTTCTTTTTGCTTATGTTCATTTTAAGGCAGGTCACCTTCTTTCTCTCCTTTTTTTTTTTTTTTTGGCAAGACTCAGCATATTAAGTAAGATGTAAACTTCTGTGGGGAGATATATTTTGTGAACAGCACTTGGCCACATTCTCGTTCCTATTACTTCACATTATCCAAAGCAAGACCTTTACTCACTTTCTACCAGCTAAAGTTAAAAAAGAAAACATTTGCCCATGTTCCACTCTCACAAATTTTTGTTTTCATAGACTTTAGGTCTAAAGATTCAATTCAAGGAACACATTCTACCCTTTCAGAGCATCTCTAAGGCACTACAAGGGTTCTATTCAGTAAGATCCATCCTTAGCCCAGCTGAGTGAGTGAAGCCAAATAAAAATCCAGGCTTATGCCAATTATGTGGATAATGAACTCAGATGACTGCAGAAAGAACAGTGTTTCTTCCTTTTGTATGAGGAAATCAGATTGGTTAGAATCTGAGCACTAGCAGAGACTTAGCTGTCCTAGTCCAATTCTGTCATCCACAGAAGCAAAACCTAAGGCCAGAGAGGGGAAGATGCTTGCCCAAGGTCACATGATAAGTGCCCCAACCAGGGCTTGAACCTAGATCTCCAGTACTCACTGAATTCTTACACTCTGTGTTTATTTACTGTTCACCTTCTGGTTGCACTTCTGGAATCCTAGATACAGAAGGTGATTCCTGAGAGAAGATTTGGTTTGATCCCCTGTTTTCTCAGCTTCTTCAAGACCTAATGGTAGAGAAGTTCTTTCTTATGTCCTATTATAATTTTTATTTCAAACAAGCAGAAGATAACGGTTTCCAGGAAAAATAATAACAACAAAAAATAGGTGAGCATCTGATTGAGTTCAGTCAGCCTATGATCAGGCTGAGCCTTTAAAGAGCCTCGCTAAGTGTTAAATCTAATACATCTCAAACCTTCTCAATAGCCTATTAAAGTCCCTAAGTGATGATTATTATTTTCAGATTGAAAACCAGCTCTTCACTGAGAAATCAAAATTATTATTAACTTGGTTGTTTTATAATGAATCTAGAGGAATTTTATAGTCCAAGGAAAACAGATGCTCATCTAATGGTCCAATCTCTCTTCCTTCTATAGATGAAACTCTTACAGCTTACAGAAAACTTGCTCAAGATCACTTAGAGCTGAAGTGGCAAAGCCAGGTCTGTCTGCCTTTTCTATACTACAAACTAGTCTATTTCTTTGCTTGAGGCTTCAGATTTTCCATGCCATTTCAGCCCTGCATTTATTTGAACTTATTTGCAAAAACATTTGCTCGGTTTTAGTATTTAGTGATTGAAAATTCACAGCCATTTCTTGGTAAATTATTCTTTTGATTCATTTCTTTATTATGGTTCACACAACTGAAAATGAGGTCATGTTTTTAGCTTGGATTTTCTTTTTCCACCACATTATAGAATAATTCCCTTATCATATGGATTTCTGACAATTAAGTTACTGCTAGATTAAGGACCTAGATTTAGATATCATAAAAGACAGTTGTGATTCCCAAGTGGAGTGAAGGAGTAAGGAAGAAGGAGAAAAGAAAATCTCAAAATCATCTGGGGAGATTTAGCAAACTACTTGTGCCTGGGGAGGGACATGGGCATGTGAATTTGAAAAATCACCCCAGAGATTCTAATCTCCTCTAGCACCCACTACAGAAATGGTGACTAACAGGAAAATTGATGAAATGCTAAAAAACATTTATCCATGGTCCTTCCTCTGTATAAATACCTCATGGAAAATGAATATATACCTTAAGACGTGTTCACATTATATCTAGGATAGAGAAACAATAATGCTAATAATGCTAAGGGCATTATTGGTTTTAAATAGTAATAGTAAACGTCAGAACGAAGATTATATTTATTTAAGAGGTCACACATCATTGATTAAATAATTCCTGAAAGGAATGCTAGAGACCTTAATACTTGAACATAATGATTATATTCCAAAAAGAAAACAAAAACCAAAATAATAACAACAAAAATCTTCTGGGCTATCTGGATTAGGAAGCTATAAAAATTAAATTTAATAAGGATAGATGAAAGGATCAAGGATATAAATTTAAGTGATATGAACATATTTTTATAGGTCTGTCTGAATATAAATCAAACCCAAATTTGAGGAATTTTGCAATCCCTTACTTCCATTTCACCATACTCTAAAGCAGTGGTTTCTAAACTTTTTTTATTGCACATATCTCTCAGTAAATAATTTTTTTGTATACTCCCAAATACATGTATATTTACTTATAAATTATAAATGTATTGTTGGGGACGGCCCCGTGGCACCGTGGTTAAGTTCACATGCTCTGCTTCGGTGGCCCAGGGTTTACTGGTGCGGATCTCGGGCGCAGACCTATGCACCGCTCATCAAGCCATGCTGCGGCGGCATCCCATATACAAAAAATAGAGGAAGGCTGGCATAGATGTTAGCTTAGAGACAATCTTCCTCAAGCAAAAAGAGGAACATTGGCAACATATGTTAGCTCAGGGCCAATCTTCCTTACCAAAAAAAAATAATAATAATAATAAATAAATAAAAAATAATAAAATAAATAAATGCATTGCTGTAATAACATTATGTATTTTCTAACATAAACCTATAGAAAGTAAAAATGATATTAGTACATATAAAAGATCTAATATATTCCATTCCTCAAAGCATCATCTTACACACCCTACTTTTCATACCACTGCTCTAAACAACCACCCAGATGCTGAGCATTCTACAATATTTGCCGAGGCCATACCTACTGCCTGCTCTAGCAACTTCCTTCCAAAGACCATACCTAACTTCCACACAATCATAAGTTCACCATCCTTCCCTTACATTTGGAATTTAATTTTAATTTTTTCCTAGTTTAATGGATTGAATTTGAATATAGACATTTGGAGATCCAGAAGTTGTAAGCTTTCCTACACCAGGTGGGTGGGGAAACTGCTCAGTACATGGGGAAGGATGGCCTATTGTAGAGTTAAACATTTTGACAAAATGGGAAGACTTCAGAAATTAATGTGCCATTAACTTTGTTTTTATTTCATGTCCATTATATGTGCAGCTAGAGTTCCAAAAGAAGTTGAATTCAGTTCAAATTCAGAAAACTGAGAAAATATGAATCAATACTACCTCAGCCAAGTAATTCCACTTCTAGGACTCTATCTTAAGGGAATAATCAGAGGTGAAGTCAAAGAAAGATTCATGTGCAAGGATGTTTGTGTTGGAGTTATACAGAGAAAATTGAAATAAATGCCCAACAACAGTAGAATACAATCATTAAAAAAAAATTAAATTGTGGAATATTATCTATAACTATTAAAAATTATGTTCTCAAGAATGTTTAAAATCATATTGTAAAAATTTAAATTTTACTATGTGAATTGAAACATATATAAAGTCCTTATTTTCTTAAATGATATGTATGTGTATATACATATATATGAACAAACATATACATATATATGGTAATTGCAGCAAAATATTAACAGTAGTTATATGTAGGTAGTATAATTAGGGTATTTTTATTTTCCTCCCCATATTTTTCTGTATTTCTAAGATTTCCTGCAATACTATATATCAATTTTATAATAAGGAAGAAAACTTTAAATGTTATTTAAAGAAAATCCTATACACTTAAAAAACCAGTATATTTTCTGTGTTTATAAAATTCATTGAGCCTGAAACAGAGATAAATTTTACTCATATAAACATTAGTCTTTTCTGAGTACAAGCCATCAGTTTAGATAAACAAACCATTATACTGAGGACCTTTGTGGAGTAAACTTGCTAGTTACTTAAGCCCATGATTGGGCTCAGGGAAGTATTTATATCTTAAGTTCAAGCAAAAAAAAAAAAAAAAAAAATCTGTGGTTACCAAATGAAACCACCAGGTGCCACTATTGCTTCACAGAAAGGAGAAGAATACCTAGCATGAATTTGTTTTTTATTAAGAATAGATACATGCTTTTACCCACTCTTGGATGATAATAAAGTCTTCTCAGAGACATAACAATTATTTAAATAATTTTATGCTGATATTCCAAAAAGTCAATTGGAAAAGATATGAAAGCATAGTTCCCATCAATTCCTACATATGAAATTGAGAAAAGAGAACACGATGTATCAAGAAATAGATTCAGGCCATAAAAGCTAACTTTATGTTTTGAAAAACCCTACTAATAGTAGAATTTTAATGCTGTGTACCACGGTTTCTGTGAGAAAGTGCATTGCTCATTCCAACTCTGAATGGCAGGGATGCATGTCTCCACTCTGGCTCTGCTACTTTCAGATGAAGGTTTTGGCAGTTATTTAACTTCATCTATAAAACAGTAATACCAACCTCGTACAGTTGTTTTAAAGATTAAATAACGTCATGTACATAAACAGGGTTAGACAACTTATTACTTCTCTCTGCAGAGATAAGAAGCTCCCAGCTTCCTTGGCTGCTGAGACTACACCTAAATAACACAGGGAAACTCTGCCCTGGTGCTTTTTAAAAAGGGTGCTAGACTTGGTATCTCAGGACATGGTCTTATACCATAGATGACAGAGTCTGTCATCTATGAGGAGTGGACCATGACAAGTCACTTCATCCACTGGGCCCTCAGGTTTCTCATCTTTGAAATAGGGAGTTGGGCCAAATGGGGCTCAGGTCCCCTCCAGCCAAGAACGCTATGGTTCTATAAAACTTGTACCACAGAAAGTATCATTCTGTTTTTGCATAATATACTTTTCTGACAGAACATTTTTCAGGTATTAAAGTTGGGGAACAAAGGGTGGTGGCACACATGGGTGCCATATCTGATCATTCAGCATTTATTAATCTCCTTCCACATACCAAAAATGGTGCTAGACTCTGAGGATATAAAAATGAAGATGATACCATCTCTTTGAAGCTTCATTCAAGGAGTTTTCAGTCAGATGAGAAACAGATACGGATAAATGATTACAATGCAACAGGGTGAGAATATGGACTGAGGGACAGCTAAAGAGCTGTGGCAATACACGATGAGGTAGACACTTGATCTTCAACATGCTGTTGAACAGTCAATTTTGTGGAATTCAGAATAACTCTGAGGGATCTTTCTGATTTGCCTAGAGCCTGTTTCCAGGGAGAGGAACTTTCTGGGTCATCTTTCTGTGGCTATACTGACTTTTGCCTCAGGGAGACCTAGGCAAGGTATTTTCTGAAGGACACACTCCTGGGTTTTATAACCTATATAAAAATGAAAAGTGAATAGCCTGTAGCACAGCAGAAAGAAGACAGATATTTGTTTGGGATAGACCAGGAGAGATTCTCCTGCCATTTAGCACAGATATTCACATTCAATTTCAGTCCCATTATCTTTCTAAAATTCTTTCTCCTCCTTAGTGTTTTTCACTGACCCCTTTCTCTTCTCTGCAAAATGCTATACTCAGCTTTTCCAAATCTTTCTCAACTGGGTCAGCAGCTCTAAACCTCTACTGCCTCTGTGCTCTTGCCAATATGCCTTTAGTGATCTACGACTCCCAAACCAGGGCATTATGGGGCTGGAGAAGAAATGGAAGAGTAAATGCCAGCCTCTGCCACCTGGCAATTTCAAAGGCTACCAAATCCACGTCTGCTTACCAGACTCTCCGTAGTAAGCTCCGGCAAATCCTGGATGGTACAGCAAGGGTAATCCAGGACTGAGATGCTGCAAGATGCAGAGACAAGGACAGGCTTTAGGTAAAGGGCAATGGCAAGAAATGGCTATATCTGAAAGGGGAGGAGCTATTTCTCTCCAGCAGACTTCATCTATTTTCCAAATTGCTTAGTGACCCCAGCTGAAACTGAGGGTTCTGGTGCCAGGCAACTCCAGCTCCAGTCTCCTCTCCTCACAGTCATGAGAGGAACCAACAGAGTTCTTTCAGGCTGGCCCCCATGTGACAGATGCAAAAGAGAGCAGAAAGAGAGCCTCTGTAAAGCCACCTTCTCTTCCCTTCTTTAAAGGAATATGTAAACTTGTGTGCATTTGTGTTTCCGCATTTAAATGTATGCTTGGGTATATGTGTGAACATAATTGCGTTCCCAGAGATGCTACCCAAACTTATCCCACTTAGTAACAATCTGGATGTGAGGATGAAATGAAGACCTCTGCTGTGTCTCTTACCAGATGTTTCTGAAAGCCAGGAGCTCTGGGGATGATCACAGAAGCCACTCCTAAGGGAAGCTTGAGACAGAGGCAGCTTTCTGCAGCAGGGGCAGCCTAGTACCTTAAGAATGGTAATAGTGTCTGTCCCCAAAACCGACAGTGGAGGACTGCAAGGGAGCTGGAGGCTCTGTAGTGAGCCCAGGGAAGCAGGCATGAGTCAGTAGGGGAAATAAGGCACCACATGACAGGCACATAGTCACTCAAAATGACAGTTCCTTTCTTTCCTCTTCTCCCTTCTTCATTGGTACAATGCAAAATTTAGACTAGCTAATCTCTAATGGTCCTTCTGTTTCCGACATTCCATGAGGTTTTAAACACCAATCTATCTGAACTAGTGCAGCTGGAAATGGATAGAGGATGTTGGCAAAGCAGGGGCTATGAAGAGAAGTATGGGATTCCTTGGATCTGTCTCCACATTTCGAAAGTCAAAACTTCTATCCAAGCAAAATGTAACCATCTATTTGGCTAGAAATGTTTACCTTTGTCCATGAAACCCACAAAGATAACCTAGAGGAACCAGGGTAGGAGAAGAGAGGGCAGTGGATCTACCTATAATGTTGCTCATCATTTTAACTGACTCTACTAGATTCTCCAGGTTGCCAGTTCTGTACTGCTCCATTAGGATGAACATTCTTGGCTGGCTTATCCACTTATTTACCCACCTCCCACCGACAAAGCCCTATGGCAAAGTAGGTGCTCCTGACCAGGAAACGGGGGTGGGAAATCAAAGACAGAATCGTTCCAATCTTAGTGAACTGAAATCTAGACAAAGGGGGCATAAAATAAAGTTACAAGTTTTTAGAATATCTAGACTGTAAGAGCCATGAGGACACTGTGCAATAACGAGGTGAGGGTGCTCCAAGTTCTCAGGGATCATCCAACAGTAAAGGTTACAGGTGGTGCACAGAGGATCTTATCCAGGCCAACCTTACAGTGTAGTATGGCACTCTTCCAACTCCAAATCGAACCCACTGGATACCTATTGGATAGTCTGCCCCTCCTCCCCCACCACAGATCCATGGGTGCAGGGGACACCATTTAGTTCCTGAACCCCACTCCTACAGCCATAGTTGATTGATCCAGGGGTGGACCCTGTGAATGTGGAACAGGGATTGAGAGCCAATTCAGTCTCTGAAGTAGCATTGGGCTTATGTGGGCATATTTCACCAAGTGGCCTGGGAAGCAGACAAAGCTATTTTTCAGTGAGAGGAAACTGGAGTAGAGGTATAGAGACTTAGTGTCCACAGATGGAGGTGGAGGGCTTCCTGGGCTCCCTACACTACAAACCAACGCTGAGGCCCAGAGCTGCATTCCTGTCCTAAGTTCCTCAAGATGATATACCTCCCATTTTCTTCTAACAAATTCCCCATTCTGTGTGAGCCAGGTCCAGCTGGTTTCAGTTACTTATAACGAAGAGGGTTGACTGATGCACACAGGTGTCTTCATGAAGTTGGGGTTCTTACCCAGCCCGACCCATACTTTCATTTTCCCTGGTAACCCAACTAGCATGTCCTAAGTGCCATTTTTAAGGGGCACAAGTCTCTCTGTAGTTAGGAAAAAACCTATTCTCCAATGCTTCCTCCAAATAAGAAAAGTATGTAAAGTATTCTCATATATGTTTATCTTAACTAATGCTTACAAAAGCTCTATGATAGAGTCAGAGGAGGTATTATTCTCATTTTATTTTTTTTTTAATTTTATTTTATTATTTTTTGTGTGTGTGAGAAAGATTAGCCATGAGCTAACATCTGATGCCAGTCCTCCTCTTTTTTTGCTGAGGAAGATTGGCCCTGGGCTAACATCCGTGCCTATCTTTCTCTACTTTATATGGGATGCCGCCACAGCATGGCTTGACAAGTGGTGTGTTGGTGTGCACCCGGGATCCGAACCTGCGTACCCTGGGCCGCCAAAGCAGAGCGTGAGCACTTAACCACTACGCCACCATGCCAGCCCCTATTATTCTCATTTTAAAGATGAAAATACTGTGGCTCAGAGAAATAAAGTGTCTTACTTGAGATTACATAACTAACAAATGGCAGATCGAGGTCAGAAATCCAGGTCCCACAACTTCAGTTTGTGTGTGTGTGTGTATTTTAAACTACAAATAGGGCCGGCCCTGTGGCTTAGCGGTTAAGTGCGTGCTCTCTGATGCTGGCGGCCCAGGTTCGGATCCCGGGCGCACACCGACGCACCGCTTCTCCGGCCACGCTGAGGCCGTGTCCCACATACGGCAACTAGGAAGCTGTGCAACTATGACATACAACTATCTACTGGGGCTTTGGGGCGAAAATAAATAAATAAATCTTTAAACTACAAATAGGTAGGCTGTCTCTCCATGGTAGAATTTCAGGCAGTACTGATAGACTGGTAAGGCAATATCTCCTAGCCCCTTTCCAGTCACCCCAAGTATCAGATCAGCCTTCTTACTTCTACTTTAGGAACTTTGCCTCTGGTAAAGCGCTTCTGGTAAACTCTGATTAACATGCTTCTAGTTCTCATAGAAGTAGCAAACTAAGGAATAAGAATCGACTCTAACCCCTCAAGCCCCCACTTGGCTGCAGGAGTGGAAATCAATTTGTATTCAGAGCAACTGTGATCAGAAAGCAATTTGTGTTTTGATCCTGCCTCTGCTGCTTGCTTAAAGGGTCTCACTAGTATGTTAATCTTGAGTAAGTCAATTAACCTCTCTGAATCTGTTTCCTAATTGGTAAAATGAGAATAAAACTGTTGTAATACCTCTTCACACTGCTGAGGAGATTAAATGAAATAATGGATGTTAAAATGCTGTATTTTTTTAAACTACAAATTGATTTATCTAAGTAAGGGTCTATTATTTACCTTCAGTTACAAATTCTGTAAACACTTTACAGTTTACAAAGTAGTCTAATTAATCCAACTTATGATTTTTACTAAGATCAGGGCTGGCCAGACAAGCAAGCTGTTTTACAAAAAACATCTTCTGGATCCTTCTGCCATATGAAGAAAATGTCATCGTTGCAGTTTCATTTGAGTCATGACATTTTTCAGTTTTCAAAACTATTAAAATACAAATACCTCTGTGAAGACGCAAAAACCATATACCCCATCAGCTACCACTTCAAGGAAATTAAATTTAACAGCGACAGCTCTAAGATAGCAGGGACTAGGGACACCAGGAGAACTGAAAGGCTCGGAGATGACGTAATTTTCTCAACCATCCCAAAATAGCCCTTTGAAATAAACCTGTCCAGAGTCCATACCTGTTTTTGGCAGTGATGTAGGACAAGATATTTTGATTGAAGAACTTCAGGATCAATGGAATGCAGTTGGCAAATACCAAATGTTGTGATACATATTCAAACTGAATTAAAAGATCAAAGCAGAAAGGGCTGCTTATTTGGGGAAGAACAGGAGGTATGTATGAAAAAAAGAGAGGCAAGTACAAATTAATATCCATTCCTAGGAATGTACACTGTCCACTTGGGGTATCAGTCTTCCTGTCTGGGAAGTGAGGAGAATCATCTTCATCAGCCCATCCTACATGGAGGGGGACAAAGGGCAGTGTGTGTATGTTGCAAGTGCCTGACCAAAAGCACAAAACAAACAAGCCAGAAAGAAAATCCCACTCCAGATAAATAGAAAGAATTGCTGTGAGATTTGTTCCTAAGCTCAACAGGAAAGGAAGGCTCCCTGAGGGAGTTGTCTTCCATACCAAACCTCTGGCTCATAGTGTTTCAACTGTGATTGATATAGAAGAACAGGTGCAGCCTACTCCCGGCAACTGCTGGCATCACTCAGTCAGGATAGATATGGCACAGAGTAACCAAACAAACCTCTGAAATGTGGGCTCCAGTGCGAGTCTGTCTGGTTCACTGTATTATCTCTCATACTTAGAATAACAGTATTTTAATGAATAAATCAACAATAGCCCTGCAGTCAACAGATACTGCACTGAGAATGAGTCCAAGATCTCTTTGATGGGCTAAACACCAGAACATAGGGGCTTCATTTTGCTCTCTCGAATTTGGATGGGGTTTGTGTCCAGAAAGACCTAGTGATGCAGTGTCATGGAGTTGTGTCACCTGAATTTTGCCCCTGATACACTGAGGAGCATCAGACACAGTTTGTCTCTAGATTCAGAACCTAGACTCCTGGGACAGTACAGAAACTGGGGTGAAAAAGCAGAAAATTGTGGTGTTTTAAATCCCTTAGCTCTTCCTGTAGCCATGGCAGTGAGCTAAGCTGTCCTCTGCCCCTGGGTGTGTGGTTAGAGGTGGGGAGTCAGCTTGTGCTGCCCATTTCTCTCTTCTGCTCAAATATTTTCTCGCTGGCAGCTGACCCAGGGTATTTTCCAAAGCCCCAGATAGAGGAGCCAATACATACCCACTATCAGATGATGGAAAACATTTTTCAGTTTGAAACGTGTCTGTAGTCTTGCCAGGATTCACTGACACTGACACACACTAGCACGGCCCATCAAGCCACCCATCTGTCTGGCTGTTGATCCACATACTGCCCACCAAGAGAAGCAGACAGAAACACACATCCACAGGTCTCTGTTCTTTCTACCAGGAACACTATCTCCCACCCACTCCTACTCCTCCCAGCCCTGCTGCTGCTCAGCAAACACTGGCAGAAGAAGTGTGAGTGCCCAGGACACACCCAAAGATGTCTCTGAATGAACTAATGTGAAAAAGTACCCTGGTTGTATAATCAAACCTGCCATGGGCACAGACAGTGCAGGGGCCTCCCTGCACTCTAAGGACCTGCTCTTCCACCAGCAAGCTTGGTTCTGACTTCTTAGCAGGAAACTGGGACAGAGCCTCTGTGCAGGAATGAGAAGCCTTGCTCTCCTCCCCATGGTCTCACCACAGAGACCATCTCTTCACTGCCCCCATCTTCCCTTATATCTTGGAAATGCTCACAGCACCAAGTCCAAACTCGTTAGCATGGCAACCAATGCCTTCCTAGGAAGCAGGTACTTAACCTTTCTTAGCCTCAGTTTCCTCAGCTATAAAACAGGGATAAAATAAGACCTACCTTGCAGGGTTGAGAGAATTAAATGAGATCCCACATGAACTTAACAGAGTGCCAGGCACATTATAAGTACCCACTAACTGTGTGCTATTATACATATTATGATTTGCTCCCTGCCATCCTCTCCAGCTTCATGTATCACTAGACCTCCCCATCTCCCCCAACCCCAGGCAGAACTCCAGCAACATTTAATCACTTTCCAAAGATACTTTGCTCTCTCCTCTCTGGACTTTCACAAATTAGCTTTTCTGCTTGAAATGCTTCTGTCCTTCTTCCCTGATAACTCGCATATCCTAGCTAACATCTGGTTCTTTAGGACTCAGGTTACAAGTCACCTCTTCTCCACCTCAGGTTGGATTAGGTGTTTCCATAGCAGCCAATGTTTACCTGTATCACAGAACTTATCACTCCATAATTGGCTATTTATATATCCACATCCTTTACAAGACTTCAAACCCCTTAAGAGCCAGAACTGTGCCTTATTCAGAATTATATCTCAAATGTTAGAAAAGTGCCTCACATACAGAAAAGTATGCTCAACATACTTTCTTTCTCCTGTTTCTTGTGGAATGCTTGAATCCTGTCTTCCATTGCTTCAAATCTGGCTAGGTGTATACCCAAGAAGCTAGGGATTCCTACCCACAACCCTTGAATAATGTTCAAAGGACACAGACATCTGCACCTTTCCATGACAGTTCCTCGCATCCCACTCCATACCTCACCCCAAACTTGAGCAACAGGTATCTGGATTCCCTGAGTGAGGCAAGGAAGGGGCTGCAAGATGCTCAGCTGAACTACAAAGACCCTTGCATCCTTCCTTTGGGAGACAGGGCCTGGAGAACACCTGAGACCTGTGGAGAAGTGCTCCTAGCTGCTCACCTGGTAGATATGGTTCAGTTTGAAATGTTTGAGGAGTAGCAGGAGCAGGGCAGAGATACTCTTCACAATGATCTCCTTGTGCCTGTTCACATCGATACCCAACTTCATGCTCTGAAGAACAGTGATGCTACAACGGGGAGAGGAGGAGTCAGTGCTTGAGAGAGGCTTACAAGGACCCAGGTATTTGGGTCAGATACAGTATATACAAGAGAGCCAGAACTTGGGAAACTTGAACTTATGTATTAGGGACACCTCCAGAGTTCCCACTTACGAGCCTGACTGCAGAGAAGCTCCTCTGATCTCTTTGCTTCTCTCTCTCCTTTGGCAAGCTCAGCCCTCGGCAACGTCCACCCACATACCCATGCAGCCCATCACTAGTACTGACGTTGCCCTCCAGACCCTCATTTCTGAGCTAAAAAGAGCACAGCAGAGAGTACTGCAGTGGAAAGGGGCTACTGGTGGGGGATGGGACATCTCTTTGGAGACAATCCCTGTAATTGTTAACAAGGTGGGGTGAGGACTAGAGAGACCCTGCAGACAAGACAGCTAGTATTCAGCAGCTGCCCCAGCTGAAGCACTCACGGCATCTCCTCAGGCAGGACATCTGCCAGGATATTGATAGAGTCTGTCTTAGCCTTGGAGGTGGGGGCTGCAGCCAGCAGAATCTTAAGCAGAGCAATCTGGGAAGTAGAAAATGAGGAAATCCATCCCTGTCCACCCCATTCAACAAGGCTATTCTTCCACACCTCAACAGCTCTATGAGAAGTGTTTTAAAGCCTTCCTCTAAGCTCTTCCCTCAATGACCTGTGAGGCTAAGAAGCCAGAGGAGCTTATAGGCTGTTCTGCCTCAAGAATGCTCTTTCCAAAGAGGAGGATGGAAGGAGCAAAGTGAGAGAGGCAATGTCTAGAAATAAGGTGGGAGGTATAAGCAAGATCTCACTTCCCCCACCCTTTTCCTTCCTCTAACCCGAATCATCAGCATCCTCACCCCTCTCAGCCTGAGGCTATCTAGGACATGGCAGACCTCAGAGCAACTAGGGTACTTACTTAGAAGGAGATCCCCAATGCATCCTGCAGGGATCCCACCTTATTCTCCACCCTTCCCAAAGAAGGACTTGAGAATACAGCCAAGTCCTCCTTCCTCCCAGAGAAGCCCTGAGGAAAGCTCAGAATTCTAATGTGTTAGAGAATGCCTTGCCTGAGAGGCTAAGGCTCAGGAAACAAGCTCAAATGATGGACAGCTCAGCTTGAAATGGCTCTCAGCAGTCTGTTCCTTGCAGCAGAGAAGGGCAGCTCTGGCCCAGCTATCTCCTTACCATGTACTGGGGGAGGCTATACAGCATGCCCTGGTAGAGGATTTCACATGGCGTCTCTGGTACCACCTCTTCCCCCTATGGCAGGAAACACACAGTTTGTCCAGACCATTTTCCAGTTGACCAGAGGCTACGTTTTCTTGGTTATGAAGGGTGGCATGAAAAGACTGAGCTGGGAGTCAGATGTAGGTTCCTATCCTAGCTGTGCTGACTCATTGTATGACCTTGGGTGAGTTATTTTCCCTCTCTGGGTCCTACTTTCATGTTCTATAGGATCAGTGGGCTGGTCTGGATTACCTCTGAGGGCTCTTCCCTGACAATCTATGATTTTGGTTTTCCTATTATCTGGAATCAATCTAGAAATCTTCTTGGCATGTCACATGCTGAATCAGGAGTCAGAACTCCCACCTAAGATGGCTCAGACCACTGCTTTGCTGAACACACATGGTCTTAACTCAGGCTGCAAGTACGCCTGGGACACTGGAACAGACACCTCACATAGAGGCACTTCCCATGGTGTCAATCTGAGGCCATCCGAGAACTCTGGAATGCTCTGAAGCCAGGAAGGAGAGGTAGGTAACTCAACAGAAAGGGTTAATAAGGGAGCTGAATAACCTGTGGCTGGGGAGACAGACAGGAGTATTAGGAGGTAAGCTTTTAGATGGAAACTATTTTCTTTTCTTCTCTATGAGCCCCTACAACAACCCTTCCTCCTTTCTGACCAGCCCCCTCATGCACAACTCTCTTTGCCCTTTTGATGACTCCATCTATGCCTTTTATCAGAGTGGGGAGACACGGGCCTCCGCTGCTCAAGAGGCTACTCAGGCCACAGTCATCCTTGGCCAATGCAGTCTTTCCTCCCCCAAGGTTCCTCTGTTACGGGGCAATGGTCATTGCCATGAGACCCTGAGGCAAGAAGGAGTAACAAGGCCCCTTCCATCCCTCACAACTCAGCTGCTGCTTAAAGACACAAGACTTGGACACAAGTCTTAAATGGGTGTTCAATAAACCCTGGCAATCTTGCACGTTTGCCTTCCTGCTCTCCAAAAGGCCTATTTCACACCTTCTCCTCTCTCCTCAAACCAAACCCCTTGCCCCACAGCCCCTCAACAGTTGCTGACCCTGCCTCATACTTTTTAGAAAAAACAGAAGCAATCAGACAGACACACCCTCATCTTCTCAATACCAATTCTACCAGAGAGTCTCCACCTTCTTTCTTGACGTGAAGGATGAACAGCCTGTGCTCTTATCAAAGGCCAACCCTCCATTTGTGCTTAGGCTCTCACATCCTTTTGCTTTGTCGAATGCACCAGTTCTGTAATTATCTACTCTCCCCTTAATCATCTCTTTTAGGACATAAACATGCTCTAGTGCCTCCTAGCTATAAAACACTTTCCCTTGACCCCACACACTTTCCCTTGACCCCACATCCTCCTTCAGCTACCATCCCATTTCTATCCTCCTCTTCGCAACAAAACTTCTGTTGTCTATGTTGACTGTCTACCTCCTTTCTTTACCTTCCTTTTTCAACACATTGCAACTAGGCTTCTAGCCCCACCACTTCACTTGAGGTTGCTCTTATCAAAGTCACCAGTTATCTTCATGTTGCCAAATCCAATGGGCACCTCGAGTCTTACCATGCTCCATTTATCAGCAGCATTTGACACAGCTGATCATCCCCTTCTTGAAAGAATTTTTCTTAGCTTTTACATATCACAATATCCTGGATTTCCTCCCATCTCACTGAGTGTTTTTCTTACTCTTCTTTTCTGGCTCCTTTCCTAACTCATCCTACCCTGAACATATTGGTGTGCCCCAGGGCTTTGTCCTGGGTTCCATCCTCTTTTCTATTTCTACTCTCTCCCTGGGTTATCTCAGCCAGTTCTATGGCTTTTAACACTGTCCATAAGTCAACAGCTCCCAAATTTATTTCTCTAGGCTAGTCTTCTCTCTAGAACTCTAGACCTATATATCTCATTGCTTGGCTGCTCCACATGGATGTCTAATAGACATCTAAAACTGAGTATGACCAAAACAGAACTCTTGGTAAAACAGAACTCCCCATCTTGGCAAACAGTACTTATTCTTAATTCCTCTCTTTGCCTCTCTATCCACCTCCAATTGAACGGCAAGTCTTGTCAGCTACAGCTCCAAAATATAACCCAAATTCATCCACTTTTCACTATCTCCACAATTACTACCCCAGTCCACATCACCATCATCTCTCACCTTGATTATTTTAAGAGTTTTCTAACTGATTTCCCTGCTTCTATTCTTTCCTGGTCTAGTCTTTACACAGCAGCCAATGGTTCTTAAAAGATAAATCAGATCATGGTCACTCTCCTGTTTAAAATCTCCAACGCTTCCCTTTGTACTGTGAAACAACTTCAAGCTTCCTATCTTTGCTTACAGGTCCTGCATAAAGTGGCTCCAGGCCACCTCCCTGACTCCATCTCATACAACCCCACCTCTCGCCCCTGTGCTCCAGCCACAGGCCTTCGTTCACTACCTCTAACACTCTGAGCCTGCTCTCACCTTGTTAAGGCTGTTCCCTCTGCTTGGAATGCTCTTTCCCCTGATGTTCCTATGGCCAGCTCCTTCTTGTACCTCACATCTTAGCTTAATTCTCATCTTCTCAGAGGTCTACCTATCCTGACTGCTCAATCTAAAGTAGTCTACTACATGATAGATGCTGCTAACTCATCCCGTTTAAATTTTCTTCATTGTATCTCCCATTATCTAATGGTCTTCTTGTTTCCTTAATTATTCATTTATCATCTTTTTTCTCTAACTTTAATGTATCATGAAAGTAGGGACCTTGCCTTGCCTGGCACACAGTTAGAGCCCAAAAGCATGCACACATGCTCTGTGACAGCACTGAAGACAGATTTCCTCCTGCCCTCCTGTGTAGGACCCCCCTGGCTCACCAAAGACATGGGGCACTTCTCCAGCTCCTCCTCATTCTTGATCTGAACATCTGCGATGGAGATGTACTTGTGCTGGTAAAGATAAGATATCAACAAGGGGCTGAGGGCCTCAATCACATGTGTACCAGCCTCTTGATTAACTTCCCCAATGACACGGAAATGTCCTGTTTATGGGTCTGTCGCCCCAAAAAGACCATGAACTCTTTAAAAGCAGGAGTCTTATTCACTTTTGCATCATTAATACCGAGCAAAGTGCTTCATGTACAGTGTTTCTGTTTATTCCATATTTGTTGAAGAGCAGCAAATACCTAAGCATTTACCTTCAACCAAAGTGCAAGAGGAAGCCAAGATCAGGCCCTTGCCTCTGGACCACTGCCTTGAGAGTTTTGCTGCATGTGTGTGCTATGTGTGCATGGAGTGATGATGACAGGGTTGGGGAGAGTTCAAGATCTGTGCAAGAGATGACTACTCTTATTCTTTGTGTTCACAAACACTTTGGATGTAGAGCAGACTGCTACTCAATCTTGGGCCTTTGGAAGTTCGTGGCGCTATAGGTAGAGGGAAGTGAGAGGAAAGGAAGTGAGGAGTGGGAAGAGAGAGGAAAGAGTGGGAGGAGGCAAAAGGAATGCGAGGAAAAAAGTAAGACATTTTCATCTATCTGAATGTAGGAAACTGGGGAAGTAGGGAGAGATCTGATTTTTTCCTCTTTGGCCAAAATGCCTTCAGGGGAAATATAGAATAATAAATTCAGAATGTGTCTGTAAAAGAGCCCTAGCCAATACCCAGGACCCCGGTAATCTAACTTGCCTTGATGGTTCCCTATCCCTGAAGATTGAGAGCCCACCCTGGTCACCTGCTTTAGGGTCTTCACACTCTCGTGGATTGGCCTGGGTAATCCAACCAAGGTATCTGTGTCCCTGTGAAACATAAAACACACCAGATCATAAGCATCAAAAGTATAGAGAACTACTGATACCCCCTGGAGTTACATGGACCATGCCACTTTCAACATCTGGTATCCTGGATCTTTTTCTGCAAGCTTCTCGGTCCTCCATTATTGCTTCAGGACACAAAAAGAACAATGGTACAGAAGTGTTCCTGAAAATTAGAATTTCTGTATAGTCATTTGGGGACTCACTTTGGGAGTGGTAGGTTTCTACTTAAAAGGGCATGTAGCCCAACGACACTTTTGACAGTAAAATATCAGTAACAATGCCTTCTCAGGTTTTATAGAGGCCAGTGGGAAGGATTCATGAGGCTGGGAAAATGGAGGAAGACTGGATCTGTTCTGACCGTGTTGCTTCTTCACAGAATTCTGGCCTATTAGAGCAGGACGGGCCCCTAGGGACCATCTAATCCAAAACTCTCATGAGAAAATTGAAGCCCAAGAAGGAAATGACTTATTGCTCAAGGTCCTACACCTGACTAAGAACACAAAAGGAAACTGGAAGGAAAAATTCCATGGCAGTAGTGGTCCCTGGGAGTTGCCCATGGCCTAGTGGCTCTAGGTTGTATCATGACTACAGGCAACATTTCTGATTCCAAGCGACCTGCTCCTCTGGCCTCCTAAAAACCACTTTATAGCCAGTTCTGACCATTCAGTCACTTACTGCCCCAGAGTGAATCCGATGAACTTGTTCCTGCTCATCTCCAAGAAGTGTTCAATGTCCTTCTGTCTGAGAGGACGGTGGAGAGACAAATCCCAGAAAAGGAAAGAAAAGAAAACCTTCAGACAGAGAACCTTTCTGGGCTCCTACCCCTCCGATTGGAGGATTAGAAGCAGTGGGGGAAGACAGCAGCCAACAGAGGGAACTTCAAACCCAGCTATTCTGACTTCTAGCCCAGCTTGTTAAGACTTGAATACATAAACCACTCCACCCTGGGCCTTCAGTGATTGTAACCTCAAAGCTCAGGCCCCTGGTGTTATCAAACCTACCTGACCTTTGGGGCCCAGGGCAGGCCCTTGGGAAAGGCCACCTGTTCAGCAGAGAGTAGGGCCTGTGAGGGTGGAGGTGGCACCAAAGGGTCCTGCTCCAGTAGGTCTAACTCTCCATCCAAAGTTCGTTCTCCATCGCCAGCAGACTCCTCTTCTTCCTCTGTGGCTGGTTCCTCAGTCTTAAAGAGATCTCTTTCGTTGTAGATGTCCAGGCTGTCCTGCTTAGTGAGGAGTTGCTGGGGGGAGGGGCAGAGTGGGAGGTGCGGAGAGAAGGTGTACAGAGATCTCACCCTGAGCTTCCCTGTCTGAGGCCACCCTCTACCCACAGGCTGCTAGACTTCAAGAAACATGGAGTAACAACCTAGCTCTTGTGAGAATATTCCCTTCCCCACCTCAACCCTAGTGTCCCCACCAGGCCCAATTCCAGGAAAAGCAGCTCTCAGGCAACCATGCCAATGATCAGGGAACAGATCACAGATAATCCCAAAGTCATAGTTACTTAACTTTTAGAAAGCACTGATGCCTTTTTTTTTTGCCAGCACTTTCCTTCCTAATTATGCTCTGCTTAGGTGAACATTCAATTAGTGTGCCTTCTATGAGAATACACCAGCTGGCTGACTGAGGAAGAGGAGGACAGAAGCTTGCTGCTAGGCAGAGGGAAGCAAGTTTGGAATTTTAAATCTTGTTGCAGAAAAAAAAAAGACTGGACAGAAATAAGCCAAAAAGTTAACAGTGACTGCCTTTAGTTGTTAAGCTTTTGGGTGATTTTTTTTCTCCCTTCTTCACATTTTTATATTTGTTTCCAAATTTTCTATAATGAGTAAGCATTACTTTATAAAACAAAAAATAAAGGTTAAAAAAATCACATTGCGGATTATGTAGACTAGATTACTGAGTGTGACTATTTGGTCCTGTCACCTATAGTTGGGGAACTCAGGTAGATCAGGCTGGTGAGTTTGTGGCAGCACGGTCAGGTCTCAGTGCAACTTGTCATTCTGACCTTTTCAGGGATGCAGACTATACCTAGAACCCTAACCAACCACCTCTGGTTCCAGGGCCAGACAAAAGCATGGCTGGCTCAGAGTAAAACTTCTTGCTGCCAAGAAATGATCAAGTGCCTCACTGAAGGCACATGGATTTGCTGGGAGCCCTGTTCAGGTGCTCTGGGTCCCTATCGCCAGGATTATACCCTAACTGTTGTTCAGGATGCTAGGGAACTCCAGGCACTAAGCCAGTGACCCTGTAGCAAGATATAGATCTATGATGTGATATCACAATGTAACATCACGATAGCCCAGCAGCCTGTCAGGGCTGGGGGACAGAGGCCATAGTGTAGACTCCAAGGTTTCAGTTTGGTCACAGGGCCAACCAAGGGTAGGACGAGCTGGGTCATTTTACTGCCCTTTCCTACCATATCCAGAGTAGCTTAGAATCCTGATTTCTGGCCAGTCAGTGTCACAATACCACTGTCTGATTTAGTCCATACCCTTCGAGAACCGCGGCGGCCTCGCAGCTTAGAGGGTGGTGGTGCCAGCTGTGACTCCCCCAGGTCAAGAGTGTAAGAGGGTGGAGAGGCGGCACGCATGCTCTTCACCACCTGGATACTGTCCTCAGCCAGTGGAGGCAGGCCCAATTCTGCTCGCTTCTGTACTTTGAGAGCCTGCAGATGCTCAAATCCACCGAGTGTAAACTAAAGGTTAAATGGAAAAAGGGCAGAAAAGAGAGAGGAAGGGAGGGAAGTCAGAGAGAGCAAGGTCCGGGAAACACGGATAGAGAGGAAGAGCCACCACCTCCAGTCCCCTGGGACCCCCTTCTTAATTAAGAAGTAATAAAACAGGAAGGGGTAAATGTGTTTACTATCCTCAGTCTGAGGAGCTCAGGGGTCTGGATAAAGCATTATTTACTGACTCAGGACTGGAAACGTCACCAGAAATCAGGAAAGGGACTTTTGGGGGCCTCCACTGAAAAAGCAGGAAACCGTGTCCCCTTTTTAAGGAGTACATCCAGATGCTATAAACCCCCAGAATCACTCAATTTCCTCTGTAGTCAAGAGGTAGTTCCCCTATGAGGTCTGCCCTGGAGGGTATGTTGTTCAGCCAGTCCTGTGGGGTGGGAGCCAGAGATGAAGGATCAGATTGAATAATTAGTAACAACTGCAACCAAACACTTACAAGGACTTAGTTTTTTTAAAGCAAATCCTCTGTTTATCCGGATGGAGGGCAGGCACTAATCCCCACATTTTATAGCTAAAGAAGTTGAGGCACGGAGAGTTGCCCAACGTTCAGTGGTATCAGCAAAGGCCAGACTCTCAGCCAGTACTCCCTTCTGTGAAATGTCAGCTCTATCAGGGTAAGGGGCAATGACACCCCAACTCACAGAGTGGCATCCCCCGCCAGTCCAACAGAAACAGGTAATCTGCTCTGACACAGAACATCTGATTTCTCTAGAATAGCCTTGTTGTCCCTCCATTGGCTAATAGCTGCCCTATGCTTCCGCTTAGCTCCAGCCTCCTGAAATCAGACTAGAAGAAACTGAGGTGGCAGAGGGCACTTCTGATCTGATGAGATGGGAGCAGGGAGAATCAACCACTCACCATGACTACCTTCCAGAGCAGAAGCAAGACCTTTTTTATGGGAAAGTGGGGAGCCAGGCCACTGCAGAACTTGGTAACCATGGAGAAAAGCAGAAGGGCAAAAGGCTCCTCATTATGCACGGAAAAGCCTGGGGGGTGTGGAGAGAGGCAAGTGAGAAAGTGAGGATGAGGTAGCTGAAACCCTGCCCCTGTAACCCTGATTCTGGACACACTGAGAAAGGCACTCACCTCCCCCGAAGAATTTGAGTACTTGGTCCTTAGAAGGAGGCTTAGAGAGCCCCCAGAGGGAAGCCTCTCAAGGGTAGGAAGGGAGGCCATGGAGGTAAAATGGCTTAGCTCCCAAAGCTTGGGGGTGGATGCCAAACTACAAATAACAGTAATAAAGATGTAACAAAGATACTTTATTACCGAAGGACTCAATGCATTTTGTGGATCACAACTCAGTTTCCCACATCAACGAATATATTTTAAAAATCGCATAGGCCTTCATATCTTATCCCTGTCTGATGACAACATCAACTTATATTTTCAAGGTGATTCAACTCATTTTTTCATGTGGAATTTGTGATGGAATGAGAAAGGGATGGCTATCCCCATTTAAACCAAGGAAACAAAGGGATAGAGAAGACATATGACTGGTCCTAGTCCATAGATACAGGGGCAATCAAGCCAGGCCCTCATGCCTGCCATATAGTAACTCTGTCCTAAAAGAAAATATATTAATTCTAAAAAAAAAAAGAGAAAGTCTGTCTGTCTCTCCTAGGCAGATGCCATACTTCCTCTCCACCATCAGCACCCCAATCCCCACCCTTTCTTAGATGCCCCTTCTTACTCAATTCACTGCGGAAGGTCTCCCGGGCTGTCCTCCACCCGCAGGAGTCTGTCTCCCGCTCCAGGCGGATATTTTCCACCATGAGGTACATGACACTCAGCAGCACCCTGGGGTTATAGAAGGGTCACAAGAAGTTCCTAAGGCAGCTCCCAGGCTGTAGTCAGAGACCTCAGGGATGGTCTCTGTGGGAGCCCACCCTAGTGGAATTAGCAACTTCTAGTGGTCTGGGTGCATCATGATTTGGGCAAAGGGTAACCCACTGCTAACCATCCCCTGTTCCAATCCCATGGCCAACCCCACTCACCGGAGCTCTGTGCTATCAGCAATGGAGATGGCTGGTTTCCGAAGAGCACTGCTACAGGCCTGGCTGTTGCTGCCACAGGGAGGAGGGAAAGAATGGGAACCCATAAGGCCTCTTTACTCCCTGTGTTTCCACTTATCACACACACAAATACGAGTACCTGCCATTCCCTGGCTAGGTAGCTATAGAGAAATTGGTCCAAGGTAAAGGAGCCCATAGAATTCCTCTGTCACCTCAGCAAACCCTTATCTGTGGTGAAGACAGGCAAGGGCAGAGTGATATAACTCTGTGATGTAAACTCCTCTTGTAATCCCCACTGTGCCTAACACTGTGCTAGACACAAAAGAGATGTTAAGCAATACTTGATGAATAATAAACAGAATTCACCCTATCTAAAACTCCTGGGTGATAGACATGAGACAAAATGAGGGGTCACTATAGTGGTAGCAGCAGATAAGGCCACCTCTAGAGCTACAACCCATGACGGAAAGAATTGGGCACAGTGACAGGAATTGGTCCTGTCCCTCTTGGGTCATGTTCTCAGGCAGAACAGTTTCCCTCATAGATTCCAGAGTTAGGCTGAGCTGAGGTGTTTGGATAAAAAGGGAACCCACCCAGCATAGGCCCCTGAAGCCCAGGATTGAAGCTGCAAGTGGGACAGAAGCTGCTGCTGAGCTCAACCTCAGGCAGGAGGACAGAATATCAAAGAGCATGGCTAGATGGAGGGGAACTGTCAGTGAGCTTTGGCCTGAGGTGTGAATAGACCCAGCTCCCACAGAGGTCTCTAGTGAGGGAACCAGCACAGGACATGAGGTACCCTTCAAGGAAGGGGCTGTCTAGGCCAGCCCTCCCCTAAGGCTTCTCACTCGATTTCCATGTGGAGTAGCTCCAGGAAGGCCGAGAAGGTCCCCATCTGATAGAGCAGGAAGCAGTTGTACCTGGACCAGTGTAGCACATCGACCTCTGAATCACATTCCCCAAAAGTGCCTAAAGGACCAGACAGTGCCATAAGGGTTGAGGGGTAGGGGAATATCCTGGTTCCTTCCACCCTACCCCAGGATCTTAAGATTATCTTCCAACACTCTGCCCAATAATTAAGCTGACAAAGGTAGGGCAAGGGCCTCCCAGAACTTCCTGGAATGAGGTAGGGGAGATGAGAGGCAGTCTCCAGGGTTAGGTCCAACGTGCTCATCGCTGGCTTGTCTTAAGTTTGAGTTCCCTGAGAAGCAGATCTAGGAGATAAGGATTCAAGGGCAAGTAGTTTATTTGGGAATTGATCCCAGGAACCATCAGTAAAGATGTGGGGAAGTGAGACAGGGAAGAGAAGGCAGCCAAGAGTTCAATCCCAGGTTGGTGGGAAGCTCTGGGAAACAGTATAAAACACACAACTCAGAATCATCCCACCCAAGACGGGTGTGGTAGTTGGGCTACTCATCCACTAATTCCTGTTGTCATTGATGAGTGCTGCTTGACTAGGGGAGCACATTAATTCCCTAGCACTTCCTGGCTGCCCTATGTGGGCTGCAGAGAAAGCCCTTAGGCAAAAAGATGAAGGTACAGGTAGTTGGAAGTTGGTCAGAGTGCCAGTACCAAGAGACATGGTTGGGCACTGACTTGTTTGCTATAGTCTTCCCTTCACCCAATGTCCACTCTTTCCTCTCCCTTTATGATTTTCTTTTACAGTTTTTTAGCTCCTGACTAGTTGGTTCTGCCAACAGTCCTCTTACTTATGGTCTCGGGGCTTATTTTTACTATTCTAGCTGGGATATCTTATTTCTCTTTCCAACACCTGGTTAATAGGTCTCTTCTGGGAAGCTTTCCTCAATTAATCTCATTGAGTTCTGATCATCTCCAAATTATTCACAGCATCCACTCCTGCTACTCTGTTGGCTTGAACCTTCTGAATACCAACAGGAAACAATGCAGAGGGTCCATGTGTGAACCTGTGGCACCCCCCTGCCTCCCCTCAGTGTCAGGTCGAGGCCACAGCTGATGAAAGAAGCCTTCAAGCTCAGCTGGTGGTATATCGTCAGCTCTGGCGCATTGACCCTCTTGCTAGTCTCCACATATGATTACAGCCCAGGTTAAGGAAAAAGGAACCCTATAAGAAATCCTGGCATGCCTGGTAAGATAAAGACTGATTCCAAGGGATCCAGAACAGTACCCACCACCATCTCCTTATCTTCCTCATAAGCACTAGGTTACTCCTGGCCTATGAGAAGATCTGTCCTTGAGAGGCAGGGACCTTGCTTTCCCAGCATGGCTTGCCCCCTCCTAGTTTTTTTTTTTTTTTTTTTTGTGAGGAAGATCAGCCCTGAGCTAACATCTATGCTAACCCTCCTCTTTTTTGCTGAGGAAGACCAGCTCTGAGCTAACATCTATTGCCAATCCTCCTCCTTTTTTTTTTTTCCTTCCCCCCACAAAGCCCCAGTAGATAGTTGTACATCCTTCTAGTTGCTGTATGTGGGACGCAGCCTCAGCATGGCCAGAGAAGCGGTGCGTCGGTGCGCCCCTGGGATCCGAACCCGGGCCGCCAGTAGCAAAGCACGCGCACTTAACTGCTAAGCCATGGGGCTGGCCCAGCCTCATCCTAGTCTTGATAACACCATTTCTCTCGCTAGTTTCCACCCCTCCCAAGTTGGCAAAGGTGGTCACTCACCTTGGGCCAAGTAGAGAACAGCCCGGGCCACCTTCAGTCGCCGATCCCTACTGACCACCTCCAGCCGGTCCAGGAGTCCCATCACATAGGTCTTCTGGGCATCTTCCTCCAACTCCAGCCACTCCTTGCCCTGCACTGGGGACAGAGGCCATATAGATCCAGTATCAGCTGCTGTCTCCCCTTCCTGGAAAGGCTCCTGATAGCATATCCACCTCTGATCTCAGCCCCCAACAAATTCTTCTCTTCAAAAGCTTTCCTTATTTAGCTGAGAAAGAATAAGGGATAGAAAAAGTAAAGGATCCAAAATATTTTGGCCCAAACCCACTCTGCAGCCTCATCTTCCTCCACATCCCCTCCATCTTCCATACACAGCCTATACTGTCCAATCTCTCTGCCTTTCCTCAAGGAGTTCCTTGTCTCCCTACATATCCAATTCCTATTCATCATTACATCATTAATCGAATGAAAATTCATCCTTCAATTTTCCAATAGAAAATTACCTCTTTCCCACTAATGCTCCAGCCAGAAGCTGTCTCCCCAAGATACTTTTTACTTCTCTTATTATGCTTATTACATTTTCCTCTTGGCCTCAGCTAGTTTAGTGATGCACACAGCTCCCCTCTGCTACCAGACTTTTTTTTTTTTTTTTTTTTAAAATTTTTTTTTTTTTTTTTTTTCCCTCCAAAGCCCCAGTAGATTGCCGTACGTCATAGTTGCACATCCCTCCAGCCGCTGCACGTGGGACGCAGCCCCAGCATGGCCGGAGAAGCAGTGCGTCGGTGCGCGCCCGGGATCCGAACCCAGGCCGCCAGCAGCGGAGCGCGCGCACCCAACCGCTAAGCCACGGGGCCGGCCCCTCTGCTACCAGACTTTAATCTCTTTGAGGATACTGCAAATTCACCTTCATCCCTACCTCCTGCATCTCTGGCACAAAGCACGTACTCACCACGCATTTGTTGAGTTGAAACTTGAATTACCACTCACCAAATAAGGAAACAGAGGTCTGAGAGGATCACAGTGTGGGCACATGAAATTATTATTAGATGCTATTGGGAGTAAGGCAGAGTTGGAGGCAGGGGTTGAACATTAAGGTCAAGGACTAGGCTAGACACAGGGTTCTACCAGGCAGTAGGGCACTTGCCCAACCCCACCTCCCTATCCCTTTGCTCTCTTGGCCCTTTACATCAGGGAAAGGGACCCAGCTCAGGCTTCTCTTGCTTCCACTCCATGGCCTCTCCACTTGAGGTATAGGAAACTCTGTGTCCCACATGCAAGAAGGGATAGAGAAGTTATACGGTTATGGAGAGGATGAAGAAGGATCATACTTTGTTTTAGGCTTTTTCTAGATCAGGTTGGGATATCATGGAGCGAAAAAGTATGTCTCTATGTATAAGGATCTGGGATCACCTTGAGTCTTGAAATCTTCTTCAAAGCACCTCCTGTTAGTGGTGAATTCCAGGTTTTCAGTGTAGCTATACAATTCTGTTGCAGGAAAGATAGGACAGAGTCATAAACATTCAGCAGACCCTTACGGAAGGGGCGTGGGGGGGAGAGGGTGGCATGAAAGTGCTAAAGCTTCCAACACATTCCTGTGTCCAAGTCAACTCAGAGCCAGCTTCCTCCCTTTCGGAGCAGTTAAAAATAGCCACTTGTGTCCCTGGGTGATTAAACCATCAAACCTGTCCTTCTCCTGCCAGCTGGCTGCTATAGCAGAGAAGGCAGACTTCGACATTTGGTGAGGCCCAGGAGGACAGTTGGAGCAGAGAGGGTTTAACATGATCATTCCTGTTTCTTAGGGTTGCAACCCCTTCTGCTTGTCAACCCAGACTGGGACTATCCTATCTCTAGAGAAGAGGAAGGCAACACAACTCCTGAAATTTAGAGGCAAGATTCTTGTGCTATTCAAGGAGTCAGGGTGAGGGCTGGAGTATGTGTTAGACGGCTCTTTGGAGCTAGTTCATTCTCTCCCTGCTGAGTTTCCTCGAAGGGTATAGAAGTTTAGGTTCCTGCCCATGGCCACCCAGGCAGAAGCAGCATCAAACCATGTAGAAGCAGCTATGGTTGCCAAAGGGCTGCCGGTAGCCCACAATAATCTAACTTCACTGACAGTAGCCTCTCAATACAAAATGCAGAGAGCTTATGAGAAATAAAAATACCCTTTCACACACACACACACACACACACTCCAGAACATCATACCAGTACCCTCATCTTACAGAGGATGAAGAACTGAAGTCAATAGGTGATAGAACAGATTTCCTCAAAACTCTGTTCCCTAACTGAGACCCTTGCTGGAAATTTAACTAGGTCACAAATAATTCACAAAGCAAGAGAAACTCACTTATGTTACAGCCAACTGTCTAATGGTTGAGAAACACCTTGTCTGGGAGCCAGGGCTTTTGAGTCTCGAGTTTCAGAATCCTGGAATGACCAGAAGCAAATCCCATCTCTGAATCTTAAATTCTTCATTCATTAGTGGGTAGCATGGATGCACATTTTTTAAGAGTACAAATCCAGTCAGAAAAGGGAGCAAGGCTCTTAGGTAGTGAACTTTGTTTTTGTTTTTATTTTATTTTTAAATTTTAGATCATGAACTTTTATATACAGATAAATATAGAATACATATAAGATACCTGTGTATCTTCTACCCAGATTAAACAAATGTTAACACTTCTCATATTTGCTTCAGACATCTAAAGTCCCCTCTTCCTTCCCAGTCTATCTTATTCCCTTCTCTAGAGGTAACCACTACAATGAAATTGGTGTGTATGCTTCACATGCCTATTTTTATATTTTTACTACATATGTATGTGCCTGTAAACATATGATATTCTGTTTCAAAAGTTTTTATCCAAGCAGTATCATATTATATAAATTATTTTTTCTTAGAAACATTTTTTATTATATGTTTTTAAATAGTTTTCTACATGAAAAAGTGTGATCAACATATCCACAAAAAAAAATCCAGGGCTGGCCCAGTGGCGCAGCGGTTAAGTGCGCGCATTCCGCTTCGGCAGCCTGAGGGTTCACAAGTTCGGATCCCGGGCGCCCACCGATGTACCGCTTGTCAAGCCATGCTGTGGTGGCGTCCCATATAAAGTGGAGGAAGATGGGCATGGATGTTAGCCCAGGGCCAATCTTCCTTGGCAAAAAGAGGAGGATTGGCATTTGATGTTAGCTCAGGGTTGACCTTCCTCTCACACACACACACACACACACACAAAAATCCATTCATTTAACTGACACTGTTCTCAATCAAGTATGTAACTAGACTTCCTAGAAACGACTTTTAGACTCGTGTGTTTAAGCAGTTTTTTGATACATGTATGAATTATTTTGTCACTGCTTTTCTCCCCTATGAACATTGTTTTTAATATTTATTGATATTGAAGCATATTGATATAGATCAATTATTTTAATGGCTCCACAGTAGCCTACTATACAGTACCCTACCATATTGATACACTACAGTTTATCCATTCTCTTATTAAGCTGCTTCAATTTTTCACAATGGCTGCAGTAAACATCTTTGTACATGTTTTCTTGTGCTCAAGCACTTCTTTAAAGTGTACATCTAGAATTGCTGGGTCATAATGTGTGCATCTTCGACTTCACTAGACATGACCAAACTGCTTTCCAATTTTATACTCTGCTCCCTCATGCCAAGCAGTGTATAAAAGTACTCATTTCTCTGCACCTTCATCAACCCCAGGCTTTTCAGTTTTGCAATCTGATGAATGTGAAATAATATTTCATATTTTAATTTGCTTTTCCTCATTTACTAATGTAGTTGAACATCTTTTCATATATTTATTGACCATATGGTTTTCTATTCTATGAATTCCTATTCATATTCTTTGATCACTTCTTTATTGGGTTGTCCATCTCTCTTTTTTTTCTCTCTTTCTCTCTCTATATATTCATATTCTGGATTCTAATCCTTTGTCGGTTATTAAACTTAGCTCTCTATTTCTGTCACTCATCACAAAATTTACTCCCTGTGCTTATTCACAAGAACTTCTTTAAAAACGTTTGTCTCTTTTCTCTGAAAAAGCATGTCTCAAAGTGTCACTTCCACGTGACAGAATATTTAACTTTCACACCATCTCCACCCAAAGCTTGTTTATTAATAACTGGCATTCATAGCACGTGTAACATGGAAGCCCTTAATGTGAGATCACGTTTAGCCTAAGCTAAAAATCCAGCCAGAGAGAAACAGCCCAGCACTGAAAGAAGAATGGGATCACTTAACTCCAGCTCAGAAACATCCAAGCAGAGCTCCACTATGATGGATATAGCTGACATGTACAGCCTTGCTCAGGTGGTGAGTTGTCTATAATTTTTCTTCAGACATTGCTGAGACTTTAATAAGGGGCAGGTTGTTAGGGGAAGGGGGCAAGATGGAGGTCGAAGAAAAAAGGAGAGAGAGATGGAACGGGATAGAGAGGGAGAGGATAGCAGAAAGAAGGGGGCATGCAAAGATATGGGTGAAGAATGGAAAGAGAAAGAGGAGAAATGGGGAGAAGGTGAAGAGAAAACAGATCTGAGACTGCACCAAAAAAGAATAAAGAAGGGTGAGCAGAAAACAGTGATAGAACGAAAGAATGGAGAATATCATAGCTGAGGGAGAATTCACAGAAAGAAATGTGAAAGCAAACAAAGAGATATTTACCACTGGAGAATGAAAAGAAGAAGGAATGTGGAGGACAGTCTTTATTCTCTAGCCACTTGTTGAGAACAGACAAGCTGCCAAGGGAGAGGCCTTCCTTCTCCTCTTGGCCATCCTTCCACTCTCCACAGACCCATCTAGCTCATACCTGATAACTCTGCTGCATGCCCATCTGCATCTCCATACTCAAATTCCAGAGTGGGGCAGTCCACAGAGCCCTGTAACGGAGAAATCTTTGTGGTAACTCAGGAAAAGGGTTGACAAAAAAAGATTATACCCTTATTTCATCTTCTTCCTCTCTTGGAGGCCAAGGTTAGATCAGGGAGGCAGCTAGGAGAGTCCCATCTGGGGCTTTCACCCAAGAAGCACCCTCCTCCAAGCCAAAATTTGAGGCTCAGTGCAGGGCAGGGACTGAAGATTCCTATATAGAATCAGAAACTCTGGGCAAAGGGCCAGGATCATGAACAGATATAAAAGCTACAATCTATGCCCATATCTGATCTACATAAACACAGACCAGAAGAGCATCTAGTTAATCTCTGGAAAAATAAGATGGACAAAAACAAAAGAGGTGAACTGAATTCTAACTTCAGCTCTGTCATTAACCCACACTGTATGATTTTGGGCAAATCTCATTCTGTGGATCATAGTTCCTCATCTATAAAAAGAGGTCCTTCAGCTCTGATGTTCCACAACTTTAGGATTGTCAAATAAGGTAGCATTTCTACTCCAGGTTGTATTAAAGGGTAGATTTCCTATGATATTGTATGTATAAATTTATAACCCCATTTAAAAAATACTTTTTTGTGTGTGTGTGAGGAAGATCAGCACTGAGCTAACATCTGATGCCAATCCTCCTCTTTTTGCGGAGGAAGATTGGCCCTGAGCTAACATCCGTGCCCATCTTCCTCTACTTTACATGGGACACCGCCACAGCATGGCTTGACAAGCGGTGCATCAGTGCGCGCCCAGGACCTGAACCGGCGAACTCCGGGCTGCCGCAGCGGAGTGCACACACTTAACCACTTGCACCACCAGGCTGGCCCCTAAAAAATACTTTTAATATATCCCCATCTGCTAATCTCTTTAAGTATTTTGGGGTATTTTCTACCAGTATATATTAATATACATGAATTTTTAAAAATTTGAATCTCAGCTCTGTCACATCCTCTGTCACATATTATTATGTGATCTTGAGCAAGTTACTTAACCTCTGTGTGCCTCAGGATGGTAGAAAAAATATATTTGGTATTTGCCCCCACTGCCTATCCCCCACCTCCCCTTCCTGCTACAGAGCTCCTAAAACCTTTGGAATTTCCTAAGTGACAGGACTATCTATTATTCATAAGGAACCCCTATCAACTATACTTGAGTTTATGCTAATGAGGTGACTCAGTGTGAGCCCTTACAGAGTTTCAAAGGAGGGGCTGGCCCCACCTTCAAGGAAGGGAGGAGGCTGGAGATTGAGTTCCATCATGTGGCCAATGGTTCAATCAACCATGCCTAAGTAATGAAACTCCATATAAGAACTCTGAAACAACGAGGTTTGGGCACACCAACGTACTAGAAGGGTAATACCCGGAAGAGGGCATGGAAGCTCTGTACCACCCCAACCCCATATCTTGTCTTATGCCTCTCTTCATTTGGCTGTTCCTAAGTTGTATCCTATATAATGAAATTATAATCAGAAGTACAGCACTTTTCTGAGTTCCGTGAGTTGTTCTAGCGAATTATGGAACCTGAGGTGGGGATCATGGTAACCCCTGAATTTGTAGTTGGCAAGGCGGAAGTATGGGTAGCCCGAGGACCCCA